CCCCCCCCCCCCCCCCCCCCCGCGGTTCGACTCCCCCCTGCGCGCGGTGAGCGGGACCACCAAGCAGCTGCAGCACACCAAGCATCTGCAGCGCCCAGCGCAGCAGCGGCAGCACCAGCAGCAGCAGCAGACCACCCAGCGGCGGCAGCAGCAGCAGCAGCAGCATACCCAACGCCGCGGCAGCAGCAGCCGCAGCAGACCACCCAGCGCCAGCAGCAGCAGCAGACGACCCGGCGCCTGCAGAGCACCCAGCGCAGCAGCGCCCAGCGCAGCAGCGGCAGCAGCAGCACCAGCAGCAGCAGCACCAGCAGCAGACCACCGGAAGCCCGGCTAGCTTTCGTTCACCCCCTCTGGCCTCAAGTGTGATCCAGTCCCCTTTTTGGAATTAGATTGCAGGCCATGCTATTAGGTTCAAAACACGGCAAAGGGCAATTTGTCATTTTCTTTTCGCTAGCTGACTCCATCATCCAAACCTTGCGTCCAGCTGTCCATCCACTGGACCGAGGTCATCCTGGCTCTCACAGAGACGACCTCCACGTCGGTCTACGATCCCACCTTGCCCAGTCGCCAGGACATGAGTGGAGGTATGGTGGGAAGGGGTTCGGTGCGAGAAAGGGTCAAAGATTACATGTCATGTAGACTTGTTGAGTGAAATTGGTTGTTCTTTTTCTCTCAGGCGATTGGCTACACTCTCACCGGTGTGGAGCCTTTCAGGAGATCGCCAAGATCATGGGAGTGAATTCTAAAGAGCTCACGGAGGAAGGGCAGTTCGGACTCGTGTACCAGAGCTTCCCACTGGTGTTGCCTGTGAAGGACGTCTATCAGCGCCTTGATTGGCGTTCAGTTGTAGGCAACTCCACAGGGCAATGATGCTAAGGCATGTAATGTAGACTTTTGATTAAGAAGCCCACCCCGTTTGGATTGAACAAACCTCTTCATATGGGGTGGTTATTAATCAAGTGAATCAAGAGTCTACATTAAAGGCAAAGGATGATGTAATGGTAGGTTTCCCACAGCTCTTGGGCTGACACGCCTCATTGAGCTGAAACATGGCCTTGGAAGAATTGGGCGCGAAGATAATCGACACCATGACTCTTGCAGTGGCCAACATGTGTTGAACTGTGCCTTGTGAAACATGTGTTCCTGCAGGTTTCTCCTTGTGAAACATGATATTCCACCACTCACGTGGCCAGCTGAGGAACATGGTGGAGTCTTACAATGGAACCTTCAAGAGTGGGGATGCAGTGCAGATCAAAGATGGCATTGTCCACGCAGGTTCCACACAACAAGTCACCGTGTTTTAGCTTTTTCATGTGTAGTTTCGCAGGACGGTCAATGTCGTAAGGCACACGACCACTTGGAGGTGTTTATTTTCTAGGGAGAGTTGAGATCGAGTCCCTCAAATCACAGTCAAGACTCAAGGCTACCCCGAGAAGTTTGTATGCCTAGGCACCACCACGATGCTTGGCGGGCCTTCCAACCGGATCAAAGTGAGTGGTTCTCCAGACATGCCAGACTTCCTGCTTGGCATTGATCCTCATTTATCACAAAAACTCCATCACTTGCTCCAGATCCAAAGCTTCGGGGGGGGCCGCAGCGGGGTCGCTGTGGAGGTCCTGGAGGTTCTGATGAGAACTCTCAGAGTCCACGGGTGGTGATCTTCATGACCTACAGGAGAGGAGAACTCGAGAACCGCGCGACAGGAATGTTTGGCTTGTTTTGCATACCTTAGATTTATATACCTAAGAGGGTTTGGCTGCCAACGTTCAAGTTCTTTCTTTACTTCTTGTGATGTTAGTCAGTCAGTCAACCAGTCAGTCAGTTCTTAATTTGTGGTACTTAATTTATATATAATAGATAGTTCATATGCTTATTGTTTGTTTTTTTGCTTGCTTGCTTGCTTGTTTGTTTGTTTGATTGTTTGTTTGTTTGTTTGTTTATTTGTGTGTGTGTGTTTGTCTGTCTTTGTTTTCTGAATTGTTGTATGCTGCGCAGCCAGCATCCTGAGCCAATCCCGTGAAGGTAAGGCACACATGGCACGCTGAGTTGTAAATTCCTGTATGCTATGGAACAGACATGCATGTGCGCACGATGGTTTGCTGCTAAGCCCACCGTCGTAATTCACCAGCTGCTACAGCGATTGCTTTTGGCTTACCGATCACGCATGTCGTTGTCGGTGCTGTTGCCAGCGGCCCGGAGCTTCAGGACGTTTCGAGAGGATCATTATGAATTCACCTTTCAGGCTGGAGATGACCAGTGGACGTGGAGCGACCAAAGCATCCTAAAGCCAGTAACTAGTAGGTTACGATGCTTGCAATAGTTGACGGCTTTTTGCGCAGACTTCGTTTAGGTAGTTGAGATATCCCTCGTCTACCTTTCATCTCTCATCATCCATTGAAACAGTTTCATCGCTCAGCTTCACGGCGCGACGCGTTCCTCATTTTGGGGCCCCCTATGTTCGCGTATGTGTATGTCATGCATACCAGGTCCATGTAGCGTCAGAAGTCAGAAATCAGAAACAGAAGGAAAACATAGCAAGCTTTCCACTAGGGGCCCGCAGTGTTTTTTCTATTTTACCATATTAATAGCATAGACTTGCATATAAACCTGTATACAATGTTCATCAGCGTCGACCTCTCATTGTTTGTCTAGGCCAAGCTTTGGGACTGGGCCTCCCACCCGGCCATCCCGCCGATGATCGCCTACCAGCGCTTGCGGGACCGGTTCACCGGACGGTTGAGGGAAGATCCGGTGTGTGGGGGTGCCATGAGCTAGTCCATTTTATATATATATATATATATCATCCGTATTCACAAATATTTGTATAGAATGCTGCATGTATTTATGCAGTTCTATGCAATAAATATACTATATATATTATATATGTTACAATATGTGTTGACATCGTACCATATAGCACTCATGATATCCCAACAGAATCATCCCAATGTGGGGGGTATATTTGTGTGTATCTATAAGTAGCAATAACATTGAAGCAACCTCTGACTCAGGGATGTGAAACAGAAGGGCAACAGGTTTCTTTCTGCCTTTGTGTTAGTGAGTTGGGTGGTGTGTGTGTCGAGATTGTTTCAGGAACCATGTTTTGTACGTTTGTTGCTGTGGGATTCCGCAGGGGCAGGATTCGACGGTTGGTTGTACTTTGGGAAAGTGACTTCTTTCCTGACAGATTGCGAAAGTTGCAGGGTGATACTGGCGATACCCACAGCGCAAGTTACACACAAGGAACTTTGCAAAAGTTGCTTGAATTTAAGCGTTCTATTCGCAAGGAATTGCCATTTCTGTGAAGAGGACTTCTGAACAGCTTCCATACAGGCAGAGTCAGTTAGTTGTAGTTGCACGATTACAAGGTCGTTATTGAGATAAAATGGGCAGGGAACAGTTTTCTGCACGTCACTACAGTGCTTTCTTCCTGGAACAATGGGGTTTCTCGAAATGCTTTCTCTGGCATTAATGGGTGGTTTTGCGTTTAAGACAGGATCTATTGTTGAATTGATCAGTTACGTATATATATATATATGCATAATAGTATATATAATATCATACTATTTTTAAACAAGTATATAGTGGACTCCGTTCAGCTCACGGCGTCTCGGCAGGAAGTGTATGAGTTTGGCGTGAAGAACGGTATGGATATCAAGCCTTGGACATACTACCCGCCAGAGAGCTCCTTGTTTGACGCCCCACTTTGCAGCAGACAGGGGGAGGTTCAAATAGGTTCCCTGGACTGGCAGCCAACATGTTTCAGCAAAGAATAACATCGGCATACCAAAAATAACTAGTTTTTAAAGAGCCTATGGTACGAAGCGACAATTGCATGTTCGAGCATCATCTTTGTGCGGTGATGGCTGTGGGGCCAAGCTAGTCGTGACTTTGTGCGGTCGAAGATCTCAGGCAACGTCGACTCCTCGACCCGGTCGCGCCACATCGAAACGAGGGAGGATGACCATGCCCTCCAAGAGGGGTGAAAGTGGAGAAGGACCCGTCACCGGTGACCTATGGGATAGTCGAAGGCTTCAACCTTTGGCTGGCCACATCGGAGACCTCTGGCCACACATGGCCCCTTGTTTCGCGTCCCACTTCTTCCCACACCTGTTCGGGCCCCCGGAGACCGTGAGGCCTGGAAGCCTGCCAGATGTTGTGTACTACTCCGGGCCTTGACGAGACGACCGTGGAGCTGATGGTGGAAGAGTGGCGGGAGATGCTCTATGACGAAAACGTCGAAATCATCAGCCAAGATCAGGCGACGTCAGCTGCAGAAGTCCAGAGGGGTACTTTCGCTTCCTGTACTTCACTTGTTTGGCCCAGCCAACCTGGAAAAAGCCACTGTGTTTTTGTTGGGATGTTTGGTGGTTTAATTCTTGGGGGTGGTGTAGGGTGTCGAAACGATTTGCTCCTCGCGAACGGGCCAGGAGAAGAATGAACTGCTTGAATCTGCTTGACGCTTGAACCTCGACCCAATATCCTGAGTGGATGCTTATGGCCACTCGGTGGGAGAGGAAAAAGATGGAAAAAGCAAGCAAAGCAGGCAAGGCTTCCGTTTTATTCATGGTCCTTCCCTCAGTCGTTCTTTCCAGATGTTTTGCGCCAGTTTGTTTTGCAGGGGCTGCTGTGGGTTTCATAGCCGCCCGAATCAGGTCCCCAGGATTTGGCACGCAGAAACGTTTACTGGATGGAACCCATAACCTTTTGTCATGCTTGCTTGCAATTTAGCATATTGGATTGCTGAAGCCTTGGCTGACACTTGATACATGGCAGAGACTTGATACACATCAAAGACCCATGGAAAAGATAAGCGACAACCAGGTTCGAGCAGCACTAAACGTTTGAGACGATTCTTCTCTTGATAGACAGTTTTCCCTGATACGACATCAATCTATGCGGGGCACTCCAATCTGCGGAAACGGTTATAAGTTATTAGCTATGACATGTATTGACCATAGTTCAGATGACAAAGGAACCTTTTCTTGGCTTGCAACCATCGACAGAAACTGATAGACACGACTGAGGTAGGAAGATGCACGCCCCCAGTCAATTGCCAGCCGACTGAGTGGCCAAAGACTGAAATGGCATGCGGACGTAAATCATTCCGGAGCGAGGGTGGAATGGGATCCTGGCTGCCGACCCAGGGACGGTCCAGACCAGGTGGGCGAGGCAAGCCACGTGGGCGGTTGCAGTTTGCCCATGTTTGCCCAATGGTCTTTTGGTACTTTGAGGACTAGGACGTCATCAGTGCTACTACACCTGAGAACAATTGTCCCATTCCGTGTTGATCGTCAAACCATTGTAGGTTGCTTCTTGTCGAAGATTCTCGGCACAGACCGCCACTCTTTGGTGACAACTGTTCACTTTGGGGCCAAAGTGCTCTTCTCGGCAGCTGCTCCTTGAACTTCGGCTGGTCAAATCCAGAAACCTCCTTCTGGAGGGGTCCATGATATACTGTTACATCTGTTACTTACTTTCCATGGCACCTTGGCTTGCCAATGATGCCGCCCACCGATATTTGTATCACGAACGCAGGGTTCGGGGATGCTCCAACACGAAACGGCTTGCAGGCCATCGGGAAGACGATCGATACGAGCTGGTGATGGTTCCAGCCTTGGTCCATTGGTGGGGACATTGTTGACTGGTTATGGAAGTTTGTGTTGGTGTGAGAAACTGCCCCAAGCTGTGTGGGAGATGTGTTAAAAGTTAAGATGGTGTAACATGTAAAACTCCAAGTAGTTTCTCCCAGCTTCGTTCATGTCAATGTGTTTTGTATCATGTTGCTTGGTGATGCTTCCTTTCCAACCAATGCTTTCCCTTCAGGAGGCCCACTGTCATGGGCACGAACACCCATTCCGCCTTGCTTGGTTGAAGTTGATTCACCGGCTCAGGTGATGAGACGCAGTTTCCGCAGGTCACCAACTCAGTTTAGCCATGGCCATGGCGGATGAGAAAGCAAGCCTGCGAAGATGTTTAAGAGTGGGGTTCCTATTATAAGCTCTTAGATCAACAAGAACCCCACTCTCCTGATGTTTAAGTTGATCAGCAAGATCAACAAACAAGCAATTGTTGGCCTTCAGAGTCGGGAATTCTTCTGGTTGCTCGTTGTGCATCCATCCATTCATGCATCCATGGTTTGTTGATTTCGAGACACTTCTTCACCTTCTTCATCCTTTCTATGGCGGTTCTCAGTGGGTTAGAGCCTCAGGATGGCAACGCAACTGCTGCAGCTGTTTGAGGAGCTGCGATTCAGAGATGCATGCCCCACCCTCCATGTGTTCCACAGCCGCTGAAGGGCTCAGAGCCATCACATGGATTTTCCGCGCCAAAAGGGGTGCTGATGGCGGTGCAGGACCTAGCCGACGAGCCGACGAAGGGCTCAAAATGTCAGGGGAAAACATTGGAAAAACGAGAGGCCAGAAAGGATCACTCTCAATCTTTGCACATGTGTTTGCACAAGTCAAAGGCCAGTTTTACTCAGACAATCATGTGCAAAGTGCCATTTGACACTCAGAGTTCTTGCAATCGATTTTGGTGTTGCGTTGTACATCGGTTCCCGATTTGGATTGGACTGGGACTTATGCTTGAATATTGTTTGAACTGGGGCAGAATATTAGATACTGACTTGCTACTTTACAAGCCCGACATTGGCTGCAATTTTGTGTCCATCACGTATGACTTTGGACATACCAGGTTTTGGCGCGATGTGGGGGCCGCTGATTTTTGTGGTGACCCGGACCGCGTGGAACGGGTCATCGAAAGAATCGAGAAAACGTTTGGTGCAAGGCTGAGAACCTGTAATTAGAGAGCTGAGTAGATGGCACCATCACCAAGGTCGGTGGTTTATATGGATCCCCATCTAAAGGACATCTTAAGGGTTTGTGCCATCTACTCTGAAACCACTGTATATCTAATTATTAAGGTCCCACGCTTCTTTGGAGGGCTGCCTCTTCTCATTGTATTGTTGCTTCGTGTTTCCACCAAGGGACGCGGTTCCTTGATAGGCAATTCCATGGCTCAGTATTAAGGCCCCTTTTGCAAGAGAAATCTCCAAGCTTGTGTTAAGGCTGTTTTGCTGTGAACATGTCTTTCTTCAAGCCATCAACTGCAGTCCTGAAATCGCTAGAGAACTCAATCCAACTCGTCCTGTTCGCACCAAGAGAACGCCGCCGCATCACCTGCTCAGAGGGAGGTGCCCCGAAATCGGCGCAGCGAACGGAGCTGCAGCGCGCCGTACGGCGCGTCGCGCCCTGAGCGCCCTGGGCCCTGAGCTAGATAGCGCCCTTGACAAGCGCGGCCAGAGGCGGTGCCGCTCCGGCCGCATCGCCGGGAGCGTGTTTTCAATGGGCAACTCCCTGGTGGGCAAGCCGGCGAATGGCATCGAGACGACCCCGTCGGTGTCCATGTGGGTGGCGAACTCAGCAGGTGAACTGTCCCGGTGTAGACTGAGCATGAGGCTGTGGAGTGCAGGTCCCCAGTCACTTAAAACCGTGTTTGGAAGGACATATCAGATCATCAGACGTCATTGCAAGCATGGAAGGTTACCAGGTTGAACTGGTCAAGATGATTGCTTCGTTCATTCCTTGAATTCAGTTCATGGTCAGTTCATCAACTGTGTTGTTCATTCCTTGAGGTCGTCAGCGTCACTGACTTCTTGACCATGACCGTCCCATTCCCTAGTCATGAGCAACTGCTGGTCTGGGGCTGCTGCACCGACGACGGGGTCAGATGCGCTGCATTTTTGTGTCGCATCAATGGGTTGCCAACAGCCACCCAGACCCTGATGGCCAACAGCTGTTAGTTCTTCAAGAAGCTCTTCAGAATATCATAGAGACTTGGTTAGCACCCAGCATGCTGCAGTCAAGAGATTCTCGCCTCTCTCCCGACGATGGATCAATCTTTTGGATGTGTTTGGTGTGGAAGCAGCGTTCACCTTTGATTCCAGCATCCAGGATCAGATGACTTAGCCCAGGCCTTTTCAATCATTCGTCCACCACACAAAGTCCCCAAGTATCGCCCCAGGTATTGGGGGTTTGTATTCTGATTTTAGGTAATTAGTCGCTGTAGATGGGGGAGAAAGAGTCCGCCACAAGCAAGAAACACTATTCTTTTGAGAACACAGAGGGGTTTGGTATGGTTCTGGGGTTGGCTGGGGCTTGCATTGACTTCATGTTCAGGATGGGAAGCTTGCTGTCTCAATGGACTTGGCGAGCCACTTGCAAGGGCTCCAGACTTCTGCTCCCTCAGCAGAGAAGACTTCTGCCCTCATGCGAGAAGCTTTCCTTTGGCTGGATTGGTTCAGTGTTCCGCAAATCTATTCAGAGGGGAACATCGAGGAGCCTTCCCTCACAACGCCACAACGAATGCACCTGCAAAACGTTTGTTCAATTTGCCTGGAGACACCTGGAGCCGTAAGCCACCAGGTGTTCCGCTATAAAGAACTCACAGCAGGGGGTTCGAGTCTCGTTTTGGATCACTTCTTCATGGCTGCTTCTTAACATGTCATATAAATGTTTGTGGTGCAAGATGTTTTCGGGCCATTCTGGTGCCAAAAAGAGGCCTCCGGACCTCACCTGGGTGTCCTTCGCCCTCCATCGCCGGAGGAGGGCGAGGTCGAGAGCCCCGTGGCCTCTGTGGCCTCGAAGAGCACCTCCTTCGGCTCTCAGGACCCGTTCGCCGTTGGTTTCGGCGGCGAAGCGGGTGGGAATAGGTATGAATGGACGCTCCAACTCGAAGACGTACTGAGCTGGTTGGGGGCAACTAGGGCAAACTAGATGCCTCTTTGGGCACTTGTTCGAACTGGCAGCTAGCTCATGGGATGGTTTTGTAGAGGAGGATGTCGAGGAGGAACATCCTGGCCCGGCCATTTTGGTTCCGAGGAAGTGAAGAAAGTCACCGCGACCAGTTAGTGTGCTTCTCATCTCTTGAGAGTAGATGAACGCATCGCCGATTTTTGGGGGAGCCAGATTGCTTCACACACGGGAATATTGCGATTGCTTGGGTGCAAGAACTTGGGGTCGTTGCAGGGTGGAGGCCCAGGGGGCATGCTGCAACGTGTAGCAAATTTGTGTTGCAAGCCGATCTAGTCTTGGAAGCAATTAGCTTTTCTCCCGTGCTTGCTGCAAGTACTGCATGTTTTCTGCATCTTTGCAGCAATCAGGAGACTCAGATACAATCGATTCCATATTTTGTGCACAGCTCTGACATGTTCGTGGCTCCTTGGATACCTTGGCCTAAGGATCTTGCTCGTAGCAGCCGAGCACACGTCTTCACAACACACGTCTCCACTCTACCCACATCTCCACTACCCAAGCTTTCAACATGGCCAACCAGTACGCAGGGGTCTTGCAACACCATGTCCCAGATTGTCCCAGCATGTCGCAAGACTATAGATCGAGACTTATATACTAATTAAGTAGTTAAGTATAGTCTTTTGAGCTAGAAAGCTCCCACCGATAGTATGGTTCCTATTTTGTCTGCTGAAAAAAATAGCACGCGACGAGGAGATCAAACAGAGAAACGATGCCGAGAAAACACCGTCACGTTGAGAAAAAAAGCAGCACGCGACGATGCCCAAGGTCTTGGCACCTCGACTGATTCATAAGGATACCTCCGCAGTGTGCAATTGCGCGAGCTGGCTGGTCGCCTGGCCACACGTGGGTGCAGCGTTGTTTTTTGGGGTTGTTCCTTTGAATAAGTGATTTCAAGTGGCTTTTCAGATTGAAGTATTGCGAAGTCTCCACATTTCAGTTCAAGAGCACCAGGTTTCGATCCAGGTTTCGATCCATGCTGAGTCTTTCGGAGTCCCTGGGCCGAACCGCCCGAGGCACGCGGCTGGTGTCGTGCAGAGATGTGGTGCAAGATGCTCTCGGAGCCTCAAATCCAGCGACGGTCCACCGCGCAGTGCGTGGGAGCGGAGCGTGGAGCGTGGGTGCAGCGGTGAAGTTGGCCGGTTTGGGCCGAAAGCAGTGGAACATGAAACCAGTGATGAATGCCATAGGGAGTGCCATAGGGTGTGTGTGAGAGAGCAATTGAGGCTGGTGAAGCCAAATCACGAAAGGTAGCCCTTTAGGGGATACCTTGAGTTTGACTTGCGAAGCAAGTGTCGGCGAGTCCGGGTCTAATAATTGATCATTCAATTCACCCCCCCCCCCTTCGAATTCTTTTTTCAATCCCGCCCCCCCCCCCCTTGGAATTGATTTTTCAATACAGACCCCCCCCCTTTCCAAATTCAATTCTCTCCTGGAGAACGTCTTCGTGAGCCTCTCATGATTTCAGGATAGTTGAAACCCTCTTGAACATTCAGAAAGAGTGCATATGAAATTCTAATCACGAAAGGTTCCCCGAGGGGATACATACCTAGAGTTTGTTTTGTGAAGCACGTCAATTCTCTCCTGGGGAACGTCTTCGTGAGCCTCTTATGGTTTCAGGATAGTTCAAATCCTATGATGCTCCGATTCAATGCTCACCGATGATCTGACCCATGGGGCAAGTTTGTCTTCCTAAGAATCTATTTGAACATTTCGAGAGCATATGTTTGAACATTTAGAGTGCATATGAACATATATTTACGAAAGGTCGCCTCCGAGGGGATAAATCACCATGTCGAACCTTGCATTTTTGTTCCTGCCTCTCGCGTTCTCTTCTCTTCCCGCTGTCCTACCTTTCGTGTCTGCCTCCTCTCAAGTTTCAATAAATCCACTATGATTGACAGGTGAGAGTGTTAGTTTATAGTGTGTTTGAAGATGGTTTCCTCCAAGTATATAGCTCATGAAATCCTCAGCGTGTCTTTGTGATCAAGGACAATCCAAGCGACATCCCGGTCATCCTTGTGTCCTCATCTGATCAAGCAGATGTTGTCACCTCCAACTGGGCAGATGTGCTACCACTGGATGGCGATTTCACTGACAGTTCAGATCGAAAGAAGATTGCGATGATGCTGCATCACTTGCCCCCCGTCCTTCACTGTAGAGTTAAAACTTTGTTCCAATGTTGTCGTTCAGCCAGTTCTATGTCATCCAAGTGCGAAATCAACCGTAGCAAAAGTAAGTCTATACATGGGTTTGATTTGATTGTTTTGCTCCAAATTACATCGGAATTACGATCCTTCGCTGCCAAATCTTGTTTTCCCCACGGCAGGGCAGGCAATTGCTTGGTTGAATCAGTGTTGAGCCGCTCCTCCTTTCTCGGGACGCACGGTCATGCCCAAGAATGACGGAGGGTCCTGGAAAGACAATGGCGTTTGGAGTTCATTGTTTTCAACATGCCTCATTGCGTGTTTGTGGCCTGGATCGTTAACAGTGTTGCTGGCTTTAGTTGATTGACCAAGCCCGGTAGGAGAGGGGGTGTTCACATGTGTTCACATCTCCATCTCCCATCCGGCTTTGGACCAGCCCTCTACGTCCTGCCTTTGACGCACAACTTGTTCGCCATCCCAGCGTTTCTGCAATTCTTCCTTTGATCTGTGTGTGATCCAACCAGATGCATGAACAAGAACACTTTTTATTTGATACTATAATTATTTGAATCATATATTTAATAAGTAAATAAATATATATATATATACATGTGTGTTTTGCTATCATATCATATATCACATGTCAGATGCGCCTGGTGAGTTACAGTAGTGGGGACATGTTGGATGAATACGAGTGCAGATGGGTCGGGGGCTGTCCAAGGACACCTATCCACCAAAACAGGGAAACTGCCAACTGCCAAGGGTTTTGACACGTTCGTACAGCACTTGCAGTCACCTTCGCTCCAGCCAGATGAAGGAGCAAGCAGAAACCCACACATCCTGCAGGTCCTTATGGTCCTCTCACACTTACACGCTCGGTCCAGGACCGAATCGAAGGCCCAACGCGACGACGCTGCCCAAACGGCGATGTCCCGAGGCTTCGTTACAAGCTCCGAGCCTTGGCCGAGGAGCAGAACATCAACTTGTTTCGACGCTCGGCGGCGCGCGGGCCTTCGGGCGCCCCGCGGAGTGGCTGGGGTCACGGTGGATGCGGCAAAGCCGGTGGCTTTCCACTCGAAGTCGGACCAGTTCTGGCGATTTAAGCGTGGGTTCTGCGGCCAATCAAGGTTTCATACCTTTCGGAATTTGATGGGAGACGTCTCAAAGCCCAGCTTCACATGCGCCTTTCATGTGAGGCTTTTGGCTTGCTCGCCGTGAAGAATTCCTGGGGATGCCGCCGCGCGAACGCTCGTTGAGCACCTTCTTGGTGTGCTGGATGCAGTGGCGCAGGTCAGTTTAACCACATCCCCAGGTGGTTGGGGTGGGTTCTAACCACCGAACCTGAGGATATATGGGACAGGAGCTCTGGACCGTCGCTTGTTGACACTCCCCAGCTCTTTCGTCACAGGCGCATCCGGAGAACATGGACAACCGATCGGTCGGGCCGCGGGGAGATGGGAAAGCATAGCTGGATACCTTTGCATCAGGGGTTAGCGAGGGCGGAGCGGGAAAGGCCAGGAGACCCTAGTAGCGTCCGGAGTCCGAACTGTTCGATGGCTGAACGATGCGGAAAACATCTTTGTGATGTCGGAGCAACCTCCCAGAGTCCCAGAGGACCAGCTGTTGTTTCTGTGTGATTTTTGTGTGTTTTTTGGGGTGAAGCCTGCAGAGTGTGCTGGGGAACAACGAAAGAAGCACCTTGATTTGGCTTTGCACGTGCCTTTTCTCCGCAAAAAAACATGATAGATGGAACTGGCTTGCTGGTTCTGGTTGAGTTTGAGTGTAGAATGAGTAGCATTGCGTCTCCCACATGATCTATAATTGGTGACGGTGCATTTGCTGGGAACCTCCCACCCGAGGACGACTTTCAATTCCAATCCTTACAATCGGCGCGGAAAGAGCAGACTGGTATGGGTCCTATGGCATGTGCTGCGCTGTCTGGCAATGCTCAGCTGATCCCGCTTTTATCCAAGGCATGGCCTGCCGGATTTCAGGGACGAACAGGCGGTCGCCAGTCGTAACGTATTGTTGGCCTATGTTGGCCTTTTGATGCCTTTAGTATATAAGTGGTAGTGGTAGTGTGTGTTGATGTTCGTAGTGGAAGAATTCCATGACGTCCAGGCCGTCCCCAGCTCCGAGTCGCCCTTCGGCCATGCGCAGGAGGGCTTTTCCGCCCAGAAGTTCATGCAGGCGATGCCTGAGGTTGGCATTGCAGTGCCTTGGTGGACATAGGCTGGTTCATTGGGGCTTCACCAGCCAGGACGCATGGCTCCGGAACCTAACTTCGCTAACAGGCTGTTTGGTCATTTGCTAGTGCTGGGCGGTTAGGTAGATGCAAGAGGCCCAGATTGTTCTTCCCCGACCTAGTTGGTTGCGTGCATCAACCGGGAAGTCCTATGGCACGCTGCATTTGGATTGGACGCAGTGCACGGAAAATATTCTAGTAGGGAGTAGGGAGTAGGGCCCTTATCAGTAGCCGATGTGCAAAGCAACAGCAGCTACTGGAGAGGGATAAGAGAGGAGCATGTGAGGAGGGATCAAGTGAATCAAGTGATTGATGGATGGACGAACGGGCTATGTGTTCTAAATTTGATGATGATGATGATGATGATGATGATGATGAACCGGGGTGCTCAGGAAGCCCCCAACCTTGTGGCATGTTTGGGCGGAGGTCGTCTCCACAGACGTGATAAATATATTTGTTGCGCCCAGTTGGTGGCTCTCAGACATGTCCACAGTGACCCAAAGGTTTGTGAGGACCAAGCTTTTGTTCAAACTCTTGGGGAATGTAATAGTCAGCTTTTGTGTGGTTGTGTTTTCCATATGACCAAAGCCATGGGAGGTGAACAACCCCTTTGTGGCTGTGCATTAGGACACAACCCCCCTGACGTCGTGTTCTTGCTCGAGCTCGTGCCGGCACCAAGGCAAAGTCAAGCCTCCTTTTCGTGGCATTGAAGTTCGCATGGCGCCAGCCCGAGGTTCGAGGGCAGCACGGAGGATTGAAGTTGGTCGTGGGATGTGATGACGCCGGCGCTGGCGAAGGACGGGAGAACATTCACCTCTCCTGTAGGGTTGCTTGTGAAGGATCCCATGGCCAATTTCCTTTTGCGAACCGTAGATGTTGATGGTCCCTGAGTTCCCCTTTTTGTTTCATTATGTTTTCTGCATTTGTTTCATGCGGGGGCAAGGGAACCCGATCAACTTCGAGACAGGCTCATGTGCTTTGGACATGGCCAGGGTGTGTGAGGTGACTCTCCAGCGACATGGCTCGGGTCTTTTGAAGTTTGCTGTTTGGCTTTTGGCCATCAGCAGACTGCCCAAAACCTGGCTCAAAAAAAACCAGGATCCCACACCGAAGGCCCAAACCGCGTCGGTGCGGGGGCGTTTTGGACGTCAAGGCCATTGTGCCAGGAGAAAACACGAGTGAACAAGCAAGGCCGACCAGGCAGACCTTGCTTGTTCACTAGGCCTTTTCAGACAATGCCCAGCCACTGAATTGAGATCCTGTCAGACCCTGGTGATTCTTGCAAACAGAGAGAGTAACGAAGAAGATACTAGGGGCTCCTGGCCTTACTACTAGGAGCAAGAACGCTACTTAGGAGCAAAGGGCATCGCTACTAGTAACAAGGACGCTATTAGTAACAGAATCTGGAGTGACGCAGGTCCTGAACGCCTTGCTGGAGGCGAAAGCGGATGCCAATGACGTTCATCGTCCCTCTGGCCTACATGCGCTGAGCCTGTGTAAATCACCAGAGGCAGTGGAGCTTTTGGTGCAAAGACGTGCAGATGTCAATCAGTTTCTCGCACCTGAACGTGGCGGGTAGCGCACTACAACAAGTAAAATGATGAAGCTATACCCCATACAAAGGAAAGGTCACGTGCGAAGGGATTCAAACACAGCTGTGGAGAGAATGCGTCCATGCGGAAACAGATGTTTTCTAATACCGAACCTATAGCTGATATAGCTACTATATAGCCACTGGTGCCAGCGGGCCAGCAACTTCACAGCGAGGTCACACCAAAGGTCAAGGCTTTGGCCCCCAAAGCTTGTAACTCCGGTTTTCGAGAACGACCTCTCAACGCCGAAAGGTTCTTGAACATCCCGGTCTTTCTACGGTCATACCGGAACATCTCCCAAATGTTCACAATGATGTTAAGAAATAGTCATGTGATCAGAGCATTGCTACCATCTAACTATCTCTATATATATATATATAATCAATCCGAAAACATGCCGGAATTGTCTCTGAATTCATGGAGGAAGGGAGGGGGACAAAGAGCGCGCGAGAGAGAGAGAGGGAAGCATGTTAGGTTCTAGCCTGTAATGGTGCGAAGAACTCCTGTAGCAGTGGCAGGTTAAACGGTCAAGAGAGACAGTCCGGTCAAAAATGAATGAAGGTGTGGCATGGCCATGTATCACCCTTTGTCAAGTTCAATACGTTTTGATATTCAACTTTAGAGGGAAGAATCTTCGATCGTGGAGAGTCCATGGTTGGGTTTCTGGGATTCTACAAAGAGAAGGATTTCCCTTCAGGAACGCTAATAGGTCGGAGGCCATGGCTATTAGGTTGGAGGCCATGGCTATTAGGTTGGAGGCCATCGCTACTAGGTTGGAGGCCATGGCTAATAGGTCGGAGGCCATCGCTACTAGGTTGGAGGCCATGGCTAATAGGTTGGAGGCCATCGCTACTAGGTTGGAGGCCATGGCTAATAGGTTGGAGGCCATGGCTATTAGGTTGGAGGCCATGGCTATTAGGTTGGAGGCCATGGCTATTAGGTTGGAGGCCATGGCTATTAGGTTGGAGGCCATCGCTACTAGGTTGGAGGCCATGGCTATTAGGTTGGAGGCCATCGCTACTAGGTTGGAGGCCATGACTACTAGGTTGAAGGCCATCGCTGCTAGGTTAGAGGCCATGGCTATTAGGTTAGAGGCCATCGCGACTCGTTCAGTTGAACAACAACTGTTGTCCTTTCGATGTATTGAAGCGACGAGGCCAACCTCTTCTCGCTATCAGACTTCTATTCTGAGTCAAGCTTGCATGAACTGTGCACCTGCAGCTTGGATTCTCTACCTTTGGGCCGGGGTTGATGTGTTGATCTCACTATTTATCGGTTAGAATATCCGAAGGTATCCATGTGGTAATCACCATTTGTTATACATTTGGCAATGTCCAAGCGACTTTGTCCGCATCTATACCTACCCTACCACCAGCAAAACATGTGTTTCAGCTTGTTCGGGCAATAGGGGCAAGCTGACACTGCACAGCTCCAACCCAAAAGTTTGCTGCCAGCAGTCAACCCAAATCGAAGACAGAGACCCGTTTGAGAAGAGACCTGTTCCAAGACACACCGAGGCACCAGTGATTTCCAAACTCTTGGAATTCCGCGCGCGAGTGGACGATGCTTCTGCCTTCGCGAGCTTGGCTGCGGTGGCCCACATGAATCCACATAGTCTCTTGGTTGAGAGGTGGCCCTTAAGAGGGCCTCATTTGCATCCCCATGGCAACCAGTGGTTTGGTGTTCAGAGATGGGTTTCAACCCAGGAGGCGGCCGGTGGTCCTCAATTCAAAGGCCAAGTCAGCATACCCCAAGTCAGGCCTTACATCCAGGGCATACCTGTCTACTTCATTTGGTAGCGAGCGCTTTCATCTCTTCTTGCAGGACCCACGATCTCAAATGCTCAGAGCTCCTAACCGCAGCAGTTGCAGTTGCCAAATTTCGGAGACTGCCTGGCGATACATGCGGTTTTTGGAGACTTGAAGAAATCTCAAGGGCACCTCTCCCCACTCTTCTTAAAAGTGCCAAACCTATATACATGTGGGCCTATGGAATTTTATGTATACTTCAGTTGTTTCTCCACTGCTGCCAGCAAAGGTTTGGATGTCACAGCCTTGCTGCTGAACCTTGTCGCCATATCAGATTTGTTTGATTCATGAGTTTCGTGGGCCGGTGGGACAGGAGAGAACTGAAGCTTGAGCTTTGAACTAGTTGTGAAACGTAAACCTCAAGGCAGCTGTTGGAAGTGAGCCCCCTTTTGAAGAGGAATGGATTTATATGGCTTCCATGTCTTTTTATTGAGAATGCAGGTAAATGACGTAAGTTGGGCGTAAACATGCACCTCTGCTGTCAGAGTGTTCTTCCTGCGCTTCTTGCCTTTTCGAGCTTCGACGGCGGGACGGCGGGCTGTGATCATCAAAGACCCAGAGAGAGCTGTTTACACCCAGCGGGCTGCTGTGTCTTCTATGTGTCTTCTGGGTCTTCTTGTGATAATTTCTGACGATGTGACTTCTATGCACAGTAAATATTTGATTACAGACTTCCTGGGGAAGGTCAACTCCCTGGGTCTTTTGCAAATCCATGACAACAGCTCAAGACATTCCAAGTGGACCCCACTGTGCTGTTCACGTGTCAGCAACCTGGTCATGCGAATGGCCCTCGCGGCTACAGTCCCAAACGGTTTGTTCTCTACCGCATGGACCTCTTTTGGTTTGGGGCAGTGTGCACTCCGTGACGCCTGCAAGAGGTGTGCTCACACAGAGAGGGTTCCATTACTATACTGATTAGGACACGTTTTTGAGCCCCGAAGGCGCCGAAAGCTTCAGGCAGGTAGTGATTGTGTGACATTCTGTGACAGTCTTTCCGTTCAAAGCTGCGCTGTGGCCAGGACAGCCAGGGCTGACGTGAATTGTAGAGGAGTTGCTGCTCATAGCCGCAGCCGTAAGAATCTGATTGGATGCAAGCTTTTTCCAAGGACCGGCTACTGGACATGTTTGGTGACCCTTTGCTGTTGATTTTGCTGCATTGATTGTCCTCGCCTCGAAGTCCCCCAAAACATGGTGGTAAAGTGATGTTCGGAACGAGAGTTCGGGAACCCATCTCGGCCCAGAGAATTGGGTTCCTAAAGATGTTGGTTCACCAAAGCACCACGAGAGGCGGGTGATGAATTTCCGATGAAGCCCTATCATCTGTGCGAAACCGGCCCGTTTTTTTTGGCAGGATGCCAGAAGTGTCACTGTGTGCTCGCCTCGAAGTGACTCGGATGGCAAGTTCCAAGTGGAAAGAAACTACAAAGGCTGGGGTGGGTGCGACGAAAAAGCCTCAAGTGCGGAACAAGGGCAGGGCCAACAGGAGCTGGTTTACTGCAGCTTTGACCTAAGTTCACGTCCGGAATTGGAAAGTCAGAGCTTTGGGCTCAGAAGAGCGCCCCTGCGCCATTCCACCAGGACAGGATTCGATAGAATTGGGTTAGACGTGGTGCAAGGGTTTCCTGAGGGCCCCCATTGGCCCGTAGCTGTAGCCCAACAGTAGCTTCATCCTTGGAGAGCTTAGGAATCCACAACCTGCATGCAGGAAGTGCAATCGACATAAATTACTGTCATTGAGGGCCCTTAGGCAGAGTTCTCCAATTTGCTTGACAAAGTATTCGGCACGGCCTCGAAAATCACTGATCAAACATGACATTCCATGTGTTGTGGCAGTTGGGGCTGCCCTCACTGCTCCGAACCCCACGATTGGAAGCTGAGCCATGATCAGCTTCCAGCCAAGGCTGAGTGGAGCACAAGCCCTTTGGGCTTTGCATGTTTCTTTGGACGGGCAGAGCTCGCGTCATTCCTGCCATTTGGACGAGAAGGACGACGTTCGGGGTCGCAGGACGACGAGAAGGACGACGCGCCATTGGAAAACCGCGCGACCACGCGGGCAGTTGAGGGTGTCGAGGCCACAGAACTGGTTCGTGGACAGTAGAATCATGAAGGGGCCAAGCCCATGCTGCCAAGAAATCTATTCATGCATGTTCTGGTTATTTGACTCTTTTGATGGCTCCAGCTGGTCGGTTCAAGACGAATACGCACTTCATGGTTCTGGGACTTTGTATGACTGTGCTCAATTTGCCAAGGGTGGAGGCGCGGGCAGACCCGGAGTTGGAGAATGAGCATGGCCGAACACCTTTCGATCTTGCCGAGAGTCAAGATGTTTTATTCATTGCCTTGAGGATGCGTGGCACTAAAATATAGGGAGAGTGTGGTTTACAGACCATGGTTCTGTAAAGGCTTGCTTTGGTTGTTCTAATAGCTCTAAATGCAAAAGATTCTGTTTACTTTTTGCCTGGCCATGTGTTTAGTCAGCAACTTGGGCAAAACACTTCTCAACTTGTTTGGAAACCAGGTTTGTTGTGTCAAGAAGCTAGCAGAGTCATGTCAAGAAGAAGCTTTCAGCCCATTGTCAGAAGCTAGCATACACGTGAGGAGAGCAAGAAAAGCAGCAGAGTCACCCCGTGACACAGAATCATGTCCGGCAAAATGTGCGACCATATTAGGAAACTCTCAAGGAACGTGTGCAATAATACATCACAAACCCTGATACATCAAAACCGTGTCAGGAAACTTAGCTACGATGTCCAGAAACTTTGGCGGATTTTTACTGTATCAGAAACCGAGAATGAAAACACAGCATTGATCGTTTGCAACCACCCCAACCGATTTGCACGTGTATTAGTATCCAAACCCTAAAGTTACCTCGACTGCCTTGCTTTCTCTCTCTCTCTATATATATATATCCATGTGTTTGGCCGAGGGGTAACTACCATTATCATCTACCCCGGCAGAACTCTTGGTTCACATCTCAACTGGTGGCTTCTATCATGTACCCAGGGGGGTCACCAGTGGAGGAAGGGCGGCCCAACTCCCACTGCATGATGGTCAAAGCCCTCCATCCACAGGAAAACTCAGGGAACCCTGTTAGTACAAAGCCTTTTGCCAAGAGAATACTTTTGTTTCAGCATCTGCATTTTTTTAGTTATATTTTTTCAGAAGGCCTCCAGAACCTACCACTGCATCTAAATAAAAACATAGGACTGACTGCTGACCATCCTGGATGCAAAACACACTCAGAACCTTTTGAAGGTCTACTGGTCCAACAGCCTCCTGGAAATCTAGGCGTGAAACCCGTTGTTTCAAACCCTTGCATAGCAAGCTCGGCCCCCCCGGGTATTCATGCAGGTTCATTGGCGCAAGGCTTGGCTTTGGCTTGTTTAGGGTTTGGTTTGGTTTGGCTTTGGTTTGTGAACAGGGCTTGGTGGACTTGACTGGCTCGATGTTTTCCATCACTTCGAGCACCTTCTATCGCCTCCTTCCTCATATTTTTTCTTCAGTTTCCAAAATCCTTGTGGCCCTGACTCTTTTTTACCTTCCTCTTTGACTTCCTTCTCGATCTTATCACGACATCATGGAGCAAAACCCTACATGGTTTCTGACTCCTGTGCTGGACCCTTTCTGCTCGCTTGCCCTTGGACTTTCTCCTTCAGTCTCGGGGTTGGCTTGTTTCCTGACACGGTCTGTGGTTTGACTCCTCTGGGTCTGACTCCTCTTTGCCGGCTTCGTTCACGGAAGACCCCGTGTTCCGACAACGCAAAAAGGGCGACTCCGGACGCTTGACCCAGACTTTGGGTGTCCGGCGCTGTGCGGTGGCCGGACTCGGTCGAGCGCATGCCAAACGGGCACGTCGTGTGGGACGTCAGGGTGCACCCGTGGAGTTTGCTTACTTTGGGTGGCTGAACTTGGCTGCTTACTTATGACGGGGTGACTATGTTTAGACTGCTTGTTGATTGCATTGATTCCTCCTGGATTTTCTCCCATTTCGGGCCTGCGTGCCCTTTTGGCCGCCAAGGTGGATGTTTTGTCGTTCAAATCGCTGTCATGTGCTTCCCTATGGCCCTGCTTAGTGAAACAAGCCAGCCCAAAAGAAGTCCTGGAAGATACTTTGAGGAACCCCAAGTGGAACTCCTTCGCTGTTTGTTGTGGCTTGGATATGGCGGAGCTGAGGAAAGGATTTCGATACATTATCGTCGTGTCAGAGCACATTATGGTATGCCGGCAGCTATTCAGGAAGGTGTTTAAAGTTTAAGTTGGCAGCTCCCACTTGTTTTTTGCAGGGTCAAGGATGGACACAGCTTGTTTGGGACCCTGGATCGATCATGGTGGATCATTGATGATCATAGTTGAACACCAATCGCTGTCCCATCCCTGTTGAACACCAAAGTAGCTATAGTAGCTTGGTTTCAGGCATTCAGGAGTGTTCAATGCAGCCCGGCCCAAGAATACCTTTTGACTGGCCATTTTGTATCAACGAGTAACAAGAAGCTACCAGTAGCAAGGATGCTATTAGCTGGAGGCCATCGCAAGTAGTTGGAGGCCATCGCTACTAGTGGTTGGTATTTTGAACGAAGCACCGTGTCACGTTGCCAGGTGTGATGCGAAAGATGCTGACCCGTCGATAAGCTGCTGACGTGTCGATTGAATTTGATTGAGCTGAAGGCTCACCACCCCCAAGACATGATTAGGTCCTGGGGGTCTACATGATGTGCTTTAGGTTTTGATCGCTCTACTTGAAGTGCTTGATCCCTCACTCAAATGATTCTCCTCGCGGTTGGCGACAGATTCAGCAAATTGCTTGATTAATTTTGAAAAATAGTACTGAGATGTACTGAGTACTTGCTGCATATGTCGGCCATGGCTCACTTGTTCCAATCGAGTCACGCTGTCGCCATCCATTCCAGCGCTGGCCGCTGCGAGCTGTTTCTGTATAAAACGGCGCGCTTCGATATGGATCAGGCCGCGCTGGCCACCTAAGACCCCAAAAGAGGCTGCTTTGAGCCGTGTCACCCCGTGTCACCGTGTCCTAGCCCTGAGCCTGTCACCGAAGGCACAGCAGTTGCCGCAGCGTCCGGTCGCGGCGACGTTTTCGGCCAGCGGGTGGCGAAACGGAGCGAGACGGGGGCCGGACGGGACTGGCGCGGGAGGGACCGGGCACGGTGGTTTTGGCAGCATGTGGTACCCAAGGCTGGGGACCTTTTGGGCAGGTCTAGCATGTATCACCTTCTGGCTGTAGTAATTATAGCTGCCGTTGTTGTCCTCCAAAGCAGTCCGTTCACCAAGTGTGCCAGAAGTTCAGGGATCAGCATGAGTCAACCCTTAGGTGCACCAGTCCAAGGGTGTTTGTCCATTGCCACCGGTCGATGAGGAGCAATTTGGGTGGTTGATGAGTTTGTTTGACCATGTTCGACCTGTTTGTGCTGCTGGACGAGGTGTGTGGCATGTTTTGTTACTGTAGCATGCCAACCTCATGGGCAATCCAGTAACCTGCCTTGTTTTGGTATGTTTAACCGTCTTCGCTCTCACTTTGGCTAGAGAAAGCTGCGCACAGCCACAGAGGTAAAAGCATGTAAAAGCTGAGCTTTTGCTCCCAAAGTTCCGAAAGCTGGGCACCCATTTTGCCAGCTAGGTTTGGTGGCTCATCTATGACGTTTTGCGGGGTGCGCCAGCAAGCGCCCATGGCAGGTACTTTTGGGTTTGCTGGTGGTTTTGGCTGTGATGTTAGCCAGCGAGATCAAGGGCTTGCCTCTCGGCGGCAGAAGAGGCAAGCGCATGCGAGAGGTGACATGCCCATGACGTGGGACACGCAGCAACACCTGAAGATCCTGCTTCTCTTTGCTTGATGCTAGACGAGTCACTGGCAATGAGATAGTTCTATACATATATTATATATTATATTATCTCTCTCTATGTATATATGTGTTTTTTATTTGTTTATATATACTTACATAATGTGGTTAACATAAATGCCGGCTGATGCCGCCTGAAAGGTACTGCAGCTTGCTGGCTACACTAGTGTGCAAGGTCAAAGTCAACAGAGTGCACCAAAACCTGCCCCAAGTCAAGGCTGCTTGACACCCGTACCAGCTCAGACAGGCGCGAAGCCCTGCGTGCACCAATGAAGAGCTGGATTTGCAAGCAGGTGCCTTCCCCAGGTCGGACGAAGCAGACAGGGGAACTGCTGCCAATGTGGAATCGAGGTGACCAACTAGTCAGAATCTATTAGTAGCGATGGCCTCCACCTAGGAGTGATGGCCTCCACCTAGGAGAGTTTGGGATGAACTGCTGATTCAACCAAACAGATCTTGAGGTCTAAGCCGTTGAGGGCGGACGAGGTGGCCAGCTCGGAAGTGTGGGAACGAAATCGGGCGGGCCAAGCACCACTCCCCATTGTTGAGGCCTGGCACTCGCCGTTGTTGTATAAGTTTGTATTATAGCTGTTTTGTGCATGGAAGACCTGCCCGCCAAATGTTTTTAAGCTTAGATTTTGAATAATATATTATTTTATTTTTGGAATGGTGAACTACTCCATCGACATGACCATATGGTTCCCTTTGACCAGAGCCGTCGACATGGATGATCTAAATGAAGTTCAAACGCTCATGAATTCGACATGGTAAAAAAAGTCGATAAGATTTGGCATGGCCACCGGCCAGGTGGGACCAAGATGCCAAAAATCATCATAATTCCATAGTCAGATGTCAAGATCAACCCTGTTGCTCTCATCCATTCTTTAGCTTCTAACTTGGATTTGGTTTCTTTCATATTATACTTTGGACGCTGTTCAATGTCCAAGGTATGTAGAACGACCTGCTCATGAAGCTTAAGTGCGATCTGGCTTCAGAAGACTTGAGAGAGTGGGCTTGAGTGCTTTTGAGTGCGGAGATCGTTCGTCCGAAGATGATGGAGCTTTTCCTTTTGACCCAACTGACGCTGCAGGGTCTCGTATTTCAACACCAACTTGAGTTTTCAATCATAATTTGACTCATTGATCTTGATTCCTCATGCGGGCACTTATGAACATGCATGAGACGAAGAATGGAAGGGGCCTGGCATGTCCAACACCCGTTTTCAGCACACGGGTTGAGCTTGTCCAAAGATTGCGGCAAGTTGCGCACAGTCAGCTGGTTCTTGCATGGGAAAAGCAGCGGGAAAATTGAAGCGCTGGGTTCTCGCAGGTGCCTCCTAGAAGGTAAATGATGATACGGCTATACGGTTATATACTCCCGAAAACCAACATGGACCCTGAGAATGGCATCCTGAAAAGCTGTTTTTCATTTACAAACCAATGGTTTTCGGGGTCCATGTGACTCTTCAGTGGGGCAGTCTTAGTGCTTTTCAACCAGGGCGACCACCGTTTGACAGGCGATGGAGCCGAAGCTAGCAGTCTAATGACCTGCTTCGCAAGATCGCCGGAGGAAGCCGATGTCTTCAGGGTCCAAAGCAAAGGAGGACCTCCACCTCCAAGAACTTGTTGAGGACTAAGGGCCGTGATAATATGGGTCTGTCCGAACTTACCTTTATCAGTCAGTAAACCAGCAAATCACTATTTTTGAAAAAGGACCTGCGACTCTTGCCGTGAGGAGACAGCCCGACTCTGCGAAGAACGGCCTCGCTCCGCAAAAAGAACGCGCGGCGGGGTTCACCGTCGCCGCGACGCTCAGGGCGACCTCGCTGTTTTGCCCTTTGTCCATCGACATGCTGGCTGGGCGCCTGTCCATCAATGTGACCGCCAGGAACTCAGAACGGTCGACGAGGTTCCACGACTCACCAGAACGAGGTTGCAGTTGGTAGGGTAGAACAGGTTGGAGCATTTGGGCGGAGCAGTGTTGCGGCATAGTTATACATATATTATAATATATACCATTTAATAGTTTGCACATTTTGTTTAGATTGTGTGTGAAGTGATTTCAAGGGCACTTTGTGTTTTCAGACCATCTCTAGCAATGTTTCCCAAGACTGGATGTCCACAGAGTGCTCGGACGAATCAGCTGAGGTGCTCCTGTCCATGGTCGCCTTTTCAGTCCAGAGGCATGGATCACAAAACGAAGAGGCACATGCATAGCCTGCATAGCCATCCAAATTGTTTATCTTAGGAGGACCACATTGACCGCATATCAGTCCATTCTTCGAAGCCAAAGCGAGGCCAGCCCTGAGGCAGGAAACAAAAGCTACCAAATGTGACACGCTTGATTTCATAGCGACCTCATGCTCCTAAAATCTACTTGATATCTCCTTGATCCATTGTGGGGGCAGGTGCATACAGAAGTTCTTAAAGTAGGGAAAGAGTCAAAGAGAGAAAAGGACACATGGAGCACAGCTCTGAGAATGCGGACCACTAAAGCCGATGTATGACCATCCAAGGATTATCCAGCCCTCATCGCAATGCGAAGCTGTGCTTGAATTGGAAATGGGTTGAGTGGAAAGAATCACAATGCATTTGAGCCTTGGAAGTAGCTTTTGAAGGTGGCAGGGAATGATTTAGAGTCCTGATCACGAGAGAACTGAAGTTTCGCTAGGCAAACTGGCCAGCCACAGACAGCTGTGGAATAGAATCCAAGCTTTAGCAACCTCATAGAATTACTCTTGAGATAGATAGATAGATAGATAGATAGCGAGCAACAAAGCGAAGACCATGTTCAATGAACGATGGGGTTGCAAGATCTAGATTCCCTTGATCCATGGGAGTCTCTCGGACTGCACCATGGTGATCCTTTCCAAACTGTATGAACAGCAAATGCCAATTGATACCAGGGACCATGTACTAACCAATTCCGGCGGTGGATCAGGAACAGTATCAAGGCCATTAGATTTCGTTATATTAATATCTTTAACAACATCGAATCCAAACCGCATATCTGAGTGCATCATCCGCGCCCCCATGAGCATACGCCATCGCATCATGTTGGTAGGGCCGTCCATGTTGGTAACGCATAGCAGAGGTGAAAAGACATTTATTGGTTACCACACACATCTCGCGGTCCAACGACGTCCGCCCCTCAAAGCCCATGCCAGAAAGTTTCCAACGGGGTGTACGTGGTGTGACCAAAAATGCACGCTCAGAGCACCTTCCAACGCGCCAAGACCGCATCTTGGCCACGGAAAAGAGGAAGATGGTAAGAGACGAAAGCATCTAATTGAGAGTGATGGTGAATTAAGAGGAAGATGGTGATCTTCACGTGGAGTCAAGTGACTTCTTTCCTTCGAACTTCTGTCAAACCTTTTGGTAAAGATGACAAGGCGGATACGACAAGGCGGATACCAAAAACACGATCACTCTGAAAAAAATGCTTGAAGATTCCTCTCCAAAGCTTTCTGATCATGCCATATTGAAGGCCAAGCGCCATTGATGCGGTGCCTTACAACACCATCCATGACATTTTTGTGCAGGCGAGACGTGCACGGCGGGGTGGGTGGTGAGATCGTCTCAGCGGCCTAATTGCCCACGACCACGCACACACACATCCTCCAGGTTTGCACCCTTTTAACTGCCACTTTGTCGCTTTGCAACCTTGCCACGCAACTCACGTCGGGTAGCCAAGTGAGTGGACAATCGTTCATCATTGGTTGGTGTTGTTTTTTAATCAGTAACAGCTTAA